CCAAGACTCCCCAATAATCTGGGGGTCAGAGAAGACCCCTGCTCCCAGGCTTGGAAAATGCGCCTGCAAACTGTGACATATTTGGGCAAAAGGTATTGGAAAGCCAGGGAGGAGTTCAGGAACTGCTGGAAGAGGGAGGGAGGGCAATGCTATGTTTTAGGGAGGGTCTCGCCCTCATTAAACTTTACGACCCCTCTGATACTGACCCCATTTTATAGAGGAAGAAGCGAGGGCTCAGAGAGGTTGAGGAACTTGCCCAAGCTCACACAGCTGGGATTCAAACTTGGTATGTCGTTGATCTGACATCCAAGTCCGACTCCTTCGTCACAGACCCCTCGGACTCCTCCCTCAGCCATTGTGGGACCCAGGACGGGGCATAACGGCAGCTTCTGTGCTGACCACCCACCACTTCCTAATGGCTGTTTCCTCTTCTCTTTTCCTGCTTCCCGGAAACCCATCTTTCCAGAGCTGATCCTAAGGAGGATGTTCGGGCCTCAATTTCCCCTTTGCGCGTGTGCTGGGGCCGGTATCTCCCTGCAGTAATAGGGAGAAGAGAGAAGGGCCCGGCTCCCTCCCGCCCCGGCGGGCTAAGCGGCCGGCCCCGCGGCGCCTTTAACTTCCGGCCGCGCGGCGCCGGATCTGCGGGCTGGGAGTCGCCGGCCCCGCCCCGCCCCGCGCCCCGGTCGGCGCTCGGGACAATGAGCCGCATCTACCAGGACGGCGCGCTCCGGAACAAGGCGGTGCGCAGCGCGCGGCTGCCCGGGTGGGACCCCGCCGCGCACCAGGGGTAGGCTGCGCGCGCCCCGCGGGCCCGGGCTCCGTCCAGCCCCTGCACGGGTGGGGGCGGGGGGAGGAGGCGCTGGCGCTGCCGACGCCGCTCTCCGGCCTCCGGCAGCTGCTCCAGGCCGCGGCCGCCGCGTTTCCCGCCCCCGGCACGGAGCGGCCTCGGGAGAGCCTCGCCCAACCTGGGCCCCGAGGACGGTGCTTCGGTTCGCTCCGACCTGTCCCCACCCCAGCCCCGTGGCTGTAACGCCAGCCTCGTGTCACGCTGCTGCGCCTCCTGGCCTTTGCACGGGCTTGTGCCCTGCCCCGGAGGGACGGCGGCCGCTGTGTGGCCGGAACAGCGGGTGGCGGGCTGGCGGGTAGGGCCGGCGGGAGCCGGGTACGAGGATCCGGAGGGCCGGCCCGGCCTTCCCGGAGTTGCGAGAAGGAAGACACCATTCCATTTGCAGTTACAAACATTAAAGAATTACGCCAAGTGAAGTACGCCAGGGGCAGAAGGACAAATACTCTCTGATCTCATTTACATGTGGAATCTGGAAAAGTTGAACCATAGAGACAGAGCAGAACAGTGGTTGCCCGCGGCTGGGCGGCGAGGCATGGGGGTGGCGGTGAGGGGTGTGAACTTTCACCTGCAGGCTGAACCCGTTCTGGGGATCTAATGTGCAGCCTGGGTGGTGACGGGTGTGTTTGTTAATTTGATCGTGGTAATAATTACACAACGTGTACATACATCAGGTGATCGCGTTGCACACTTTGAATCTGTACAATCTTTGTCAGTTAAATTGTTTTTTTAAAGAACAGGGAGGGGTAGCTAGAAGCAAGTAAGGTAGAGGGAATTCTCACTTCCCACCCCCCTTCCACTATCATCTTCGGCTGCCCCCACGCCTCTCCCACTTCTGTGGGTTTGAAAAAGGAAGACCCAGGTTCTGCTTTCGTGAAAACTGGAATCAGGAGGCTTCTCGGTGACGGACTGCGGCCTTGGACTCGGCCCAAAACTTCTGAGTCTGGGTTTCTCCACCTCCAAAGGGGCAGTAACCATTTCCTTGGGTTGGTGACCACATGGATGTGAATGAGAATAGGAATATGGATGTATTTTAAAACAAGTGGAAAGGGAAGATCGTTTCTAGCAGCTAGATACCTCCCTCCAAATGTGGCTAAATAAAAAAGTAAAATCATCTATATTTCATAAGCACTTAGTTTACAAAACACCTTCACATGCATGATCTTAGGTCATCAGCCGAGGGGCAGAGCGAAGCAGCTGCATTTCATAGACAAGACTGAGGCTCTGGTGACGGTAACTCCCAGTGACCCTGCAGGAGGGGGCCATAGCTTGGTCTTAAGGCAGCCTGACAAGGTTCCTCCTGCCTTCTGGGCAGTGCGCCAGCCTTTGGGACCCTTGGAGGGATGGAGGCCCTATGTGTGAAGCACAGAGAAAGGGGCCGCTCAGGGCCAGGTGGATCGGAGACACAGGTGGGATTTGCTTGTGGCTCTCCTGAGGACTGGCAGAACTGGCCATCCCTCCTTTCCCTCTCATCCCCAGGGGGAATGGCGTCCTGCTCGAGGGAGAACTGCTCGATGTGTCTCGGCACAGCATCTCGGATGCCCATGGCAGGAAGGTGAGGATGCTTCCTCGGTGGTACCCACAGGGCCCTGGCTGCACAGTCCTCCCCCACCGAGGCATCTCCTTGTGCGCGGCTCTTCCAGTGCCAAGGCTTGGGATCCAGCTCCCTCCTTGATGGGCTCAGACGGCAGGTGGGAAGCGGGTGTGGAGATCAGTGGCCAGACGGGACCCTGAGTGGACAGGGAGCAGTAGGGTGTGCTGGGCAGCAGACAGGTGGGAGGGCCCGGGTTCTTGCCAGAAGAGCCTGGCAAGGCTGGGAAGACAGACCAGGCCCGACACCCAGTCTAGCCTGAATGTGAAGTTTACGTTGCTGACACTGGGGCTTCAGTTCCCATGTCGATGTCCCGGGTACCTTTGCCCTCTCAGTCTCCTGGGGTCATGCTCCGTATCGCCAGTGTCCCCATCTCCGGTGTTCACGGGTGTACCTGGCATTCACCATCTCGTACTAGCTTGTGTCTCTTTTCTGAGCTCCAGTTCTGAGCTCCCACCCCACTTTCCAGTGGCCCGAGCTAGATGTGCTGACCACCTTATCTCACTGGTCTCCAAAACTGAGCTTGGTCTCTAAAAATGCTCTCTTGAGGGGGGCCAGAGGCCTGGTGCTACGTGGACCCTATGTTTCTCTCCCGTATCCCGTGGGAACAGCCTCAGCTCCCAGCTCACCACGATTTTCATGTCAAGAGATGCTTTGCTGCACCCTCCCCTCCTTAGCATGCAAGTCGGCAGGTGGCACACAGTCTGGAGCCCCCGGCTGGCCTGTGCAGCAGGGCCCGGCAGTAGCCCCACGCTGGCATGGGGCTGCCTGCCTTGGCTGCTCTCACACAGGCAGGGTGTTTTCCCAGCCCCTCTCCAAACTGGTTCCTGGTGATAGTGCAGTCGCCCCACCAGCCACCAGCCACCAGCCTGCAGAGCCCCACTGCTCGCCTCCCCCCTGCCCCAGGTGAGCAATGCTGAGTCCTGCTGGGCTCCTGCCTTGCCCGTTCCTTCCTCTCCCTTCCCTTCCTCTTTCCACATCTGCTCACTCAGTTGGGCCCTTGTTCTGTCCTGTTAACACCTGCCCTCCTGCCTCTGGCTCCCCTTAAAGCTCATCCCTGCCCTGCTTCCCAGTTGTTTCTGGAAAGACATCTCTGAGGGTCTTGCTGCTGCTCACACAGGACTCCTTCTTGTCTGCCGGATAAAATCCAAACTCTAGATGCCAACTCAGGGCCTGTCTCAGACTCATCCCACTTGCTTTCCCAGGCTGGGCTCCCACAGGCCTCTTGACTCTCACGTACCTGTCCCGGGCTTTTAGTATTCTCCCTACACCCTTATTCTCAAGGGGGCAGCTTTCCCATCCTTTAAGACGTCACCTTCCTTGTTTCCCCCAGGAAGCGGCCTCCCTGTCCTCGGTCTCTGGGAGCGTTTCTTCCACCCATTTGGATCCGAATAGCTGGCAGACAGCATTCAAACACACTTCGTGCTTTGCACTGTGCTGGCTCCTGTTATCTCGTTGAACCCTTACAACATTCCTGAAAGTGGGCATCGCATTGTCCCCGTATGGCAGGGGAAATCGAGGCTCAGAAGGCTAGCAGTGATTTGCCCCAGGGACTGCATCTGTTGGAGGGGCAGAGTGGCTGCCCTCACTCAGGGTTCCCTTTCAGTGCCCTTCCCATGGCACCTTGGCAGCGTCCACCCCTGCCTTATGGCATTTGCCGTCCTTGGTTCCTGCATTATGGTTTTCTGTGTATGTTTTTTGTCTCTGTCTGTGTGGAAGCCTTGGGGTTAGGCCCAGTGCCCACCCTGTCATGGACTTCTAGCACAGCTCATTGTGCGTGGCAGGTGCTTTTAGAACACAGGAATGAATGCATATTCGAGTGGGGGGATCTGCCCAGCTTGAACACCTTTTGGAGCTGAGGTGGGTTTCGGGGTGGAGGGTGAGGTCGGCAGGGCAGCAGCCAGAGTCCAGAGTGTGTGTGCTGGGTGGGGTGAAGCGGCCCCTCACTCTCTGTCTGCCTGGCCCCAGGAGCGCTACTACGTGCTGTACGTCCGGCCCAGTCGCATCCACCGCCGTAAATTCAACCCCAAGGGAGATGAAATCGAGCCCAACTTCAGTGCCACCAGGAAGGTGAACACGGGCTTCCTGATGTCATCCTACAGTAGGTACCCTCTGCCCTTCCTCCCACAGGGCCCTCCTACAGCGTGGCCTGCCTTTGTCTCCTGAGCCTCTTGGCCCCTAGAAAGTGTCTTCTCAGCATGGCTGGCCTCAGAGCTGGTGTCTGGCCTGGGGCCCCCCTGCCTGGACTCCTCCCTGCCTCCCGTCTGCTCAGAGGATCGCCATTGCCCCGCTTCAGTCCCAGGGGCCAGGCTGGGTTCCCGTCTCCTGCCGTCTCTTGCAGTCTGACAGAATCATCCACAAACGTGGCTTTGGGCTCTATCTGCCTTTCTGCAGAGCCCAGGCCAGGCCCCCAGTGGTCTTCATTTTACTGCCAAAATCCTCGTTTGGTTCTTGGGCCCTGTCTTGGTCCATTTGTGCTGCTATGACAAAGTACCTTAGGTGGGGTCATTTATAAACAGAAATTAGTTGCTTACAGTTCTGGAGGCTGAGAAGTCTGAGGTCAAGGTGCCAGCAGGTAAGGGCTGTCTGGGGAGGGCTTGTGCTCTCTGCTCGAAGGATGGTGACTTCTCGCCGTGTCCTCGCATGGCAGAAGGGCCAGGCAACTCCTTCCACCTTGTTCATGAGGGCAGCAGTCCCACTCGTGGGGGCCCTGCCCTCACACTTAACCACCTGCCTCCTAAAGGCCCTACCTTTTAATGCTGTCGCATTGGTGATTGTTCCAACATGTGAGTTTGGGGGGGACATTCAGACCATTGCAGGCCCTCCATGGTCTCGCTCTTCTTCCCAACTTTGGCTATAGTAGGACCTCTTTGCTGCCTGCCGCTGCGTGAGGAGGTTTGGAGGTTGAGTGGGAGTCTGTCGTGTTATTCATTCATGCTTTCAGTTGCTCATTGCTTCCCTGAACATTTAGTGAGCACCTACTGTGCACCAGGCCCTGTGCCACATGCTGAGGGTCCAGGGACAAGCAGGACTTGGTCCTGCACTGGAGATGTCCTCAATCTGGTAGAGGAGATGGGGCCCACGACCAGAGCCCAGGGAAGGGCTCTGCTGTTATGGTAACCTAGGGCAGAGACGAGAAGGCCGGGACTGAGGACCTGTCAGTAGGGGTGTGGAGTCAGAGTATGGAAGCGATGGGAGTGGATGAAGTTGGCCAGGAGGAGAAAAGAAGTGGGCCCGGGAGGTTGTCTTGGGGAACAGCAATGATAGGAGGTGGACAGGGGCAGGAGTCCCGCGAAGAGGTCTGAGGGACACGGGGAAGGTGTCCCTGAAGCCCAGCGAAGCCCAGGGGAACAGGAGCAAGGAGCTGGCAGTGGGGTCAGGTGCTGCCGTGGATCAGTAAGATTCAGAATATGGAGCGTCCAAGGGGTTTGCCAATTAAGGACTCTCTGTGACTGTGGCAGGGGGCAGGGTGTGGAGCGGTGGGTGTCAAAGCCAGAGCATGGAGGCCTTGAGGAAAAGCTAGGGAGTGGGAGGGAGGGACAGGTCCCGGAGGGCGTGGGAGGAGTCTGGAGCCCTCATGGGGAACTGGCTTGAGGCAGGAGAAGGACTTCTGGCCTTTGAGACTGAAGGGGAGGAGAGGTTTTGTGGGGTGGGAAGTGAGTTGACAGGTAGGTGGTGGCAGGGAAGTGAGAGGCCCCACCTGATGACTTCTGTCCTCTTGCAAAGTAGGTGGGCTGATTTGTCAGTAGAGATGGGGACTACCAGAGTTTACTCCTGTTCCAGCCCAGCCCGCCCCAGCCAGGGAGGTCCCAAGATCCTGCAGGGAACCCTGCCTGGTCACCGGGGTCTCAGTGGGAAGGTAGGATCACATGGGGGTGGTTTGAATCCTGCCTCCTTCCCTGCTGTGTCACCTTGAGCTAATTACTCAATCTCTCTAAGCCTCGGTTTTCTCATCTATAAAATGGGAATAAGGACAACATATTAACATTCCCCGAGGGTTTACTGTGTGCCGGGCATTGTGCTAAGTGCTTTACATGCTTTATTTCACTTATACCTCATGTTCCTGTCAGGTGGGCATCGATCGTATTGTATTTTTCAGGTACAGAGAGGTTAAGTAACTTGCCCAAGTTACCGTAGAGCTCAGATCTGCAGCAGGCAGCCGGGCTCCAGAGCCGGGGGGCACCTCCTGTGCTAAGGAGGTCGCTGATGAGTCCCACCCTGCAGCTGATTATGAGAGTATAAAACGCTCCGCCCTCACCTGGCTCCTAACAGGCCTCAGTCAGTGCTTGCTATTATTACGGCCATAAGGACCCCTGTGCTGTGTGCCTGCAGAGGTGGAAGCCAAGGGGGACACCGACAGGCTCTCGCCCGAGGAGCTGAACGAGCTGGTGAATAAGCCAGAGCTGCTGGCGCTGACCGAGAGCCTCGCCCCTGAGCAGACGGTGGCCTTCTGGATGCCCGAGTCAGACATGGAGGCGATGGAGCTCGAGCTCGGGGCCGGGGTGCGGCTGAAGACTCGGGGCGATGGCCCCTTCCTGGGTGAGCAGTGCGGCCCTCACTCTGGCCTGATGTTCCTGTGTGGCCCCGGGGGCTCCTGGGCTCCCTTCTCAGGCTCCCCCACCTCTCCTGCTGAGAGCTCAGGGGAACAGGCCAGGCGTGGCCTCCCTGGGGACACAACTAAGCCCTTGAGGTTTATTCCTAGATCCCTGGACAAGCACCCTGGGGCCATTAGGCTAGATACTCTGGATCCTGGGGTACCACCCAATTCCATGGTTCCTGTGGGTGACTGCTCCCCACTGTGCCTTAGGGGTCCCACCCAGGGCCTCACTGACTACCCCTAGGCCTGGGGAGAACAGTGGCTTAACCCAGGCCTAGGGGACCCCACCTCAGTGGGCCTAGCCCCCACTGTGTTTGTGCCACGGGGACAGAGGACATTCAACTTCTTTTCTTCTTTCAGAGTCATTGGCCAAACTGGAGGCTGGAACAGTGACCAAGTGTAATTTTGCTGGTGATGGAAAGACAGGGGTGTCCTGGACAGACAACATCATGGCCCAGAAGTCATCAGAGGGGGCCACAGCGGACATCCGAGAGCAGGGGGATGGGGCAGAGGACGAAGAGTGGGTAGGTCACGTACCTGGTGTTGTGTGCGGTTATACCTCATGGTGGGAGTTTTGTACGGACTGGTTGAGGTTGGGGGTAGGACGAAGAGACAGCAGGATACATCTTACCCCCAGCTTTGGTGGAATTCTGTGGAATTCGTAGAGTGTGTCAGCATCAGGGAAATTCCTTCAAGGTATGAAGGGTGGCAGCGTGGGACCTGTCTTGTTGGTGGGTCTGAACTGTGCCTATCTACACAGATGTATAAAAGCCAGTGATGGGAAGGAGAGCTGCAGAGGGAACCGGTGATGGTAATTAAGTCTCAAAACATTTGCCCCGCGAGGGAATACATCGGCCACGCTGAGGCAGTTGAGCCCCTGCGCGAGTGTTTTCTTCTCCTTTGGTCTGGGCTTCTTGCCCGAGGCGGCTGGGAAATGGCGCACTTGGCCCTGGCTAGCTTTGCTTCTGCCGAGGGTCAGCCCCCTAGCTGCTCCTCATCCTAGTCACGGTTGTGTTTCTGAAGCATCTTGTACCTGAAGATTTGAACTGATGTTTAAAGGCCCCAAATTGAACATCTGAAGCAAAGTCACAGAAAAATGGGCTATTTGTCTAGGTGAGGGAGATGACGACCTTGGCCAGAGGAAGCAGGCCAGGCAGACTGAGCGTCTGGACTCCCTCCACCTTGATAAGGAGAGTCTTCGACTGAAAAAGGGTCGGGGCTGCCAGGCCAGCTCTCGGGGCCAGCTCTGAGGAGGTGGGGCCAAGGCAGGTGGCCCGGGCCCCACAGGTACCACATGATGGAGCCCTTGTTTGTCTGATGGCCTTTATGACACGTGCTCTGTCCATGTCTTTCTACTTTACTCGTTGGATTTCTCTAGGACGACTGAGCTTCGTGGGACGAGGATGCCGCTGGGGCCCGCCAGCACCCGCTGAGAATTTCTTCCATGACTTCCGCTCTGGACCTGCAGAGAGCAGTCCACCAAGCCCGGTTCTTCCCTGCAGCCGCCTCGGAATAAATACCCTTTGAACGAGCTCTGCTATAACCAAATGCAAGACCACAATGACAGTCTTGCCAGTGGGGCCCCATGCTGTGTGGCTCATGGGGGCCCCTCCCTGGATGCGAGTCTAGACTTTCTAGATGTTTTCATGGTGACCTTGCCCTGGAAGACAGCCTCGTTTCTGAAGGCAGGTGGTAGGCAAGTCCCCCAGGGCAGTGTGAGAGGAACTGGACTTGGTCTTGGTGCAGACCTTGGCAATATCCCTCATCTAGATGCAGAGAGGCTCAGGGTAGAAGGGAGCGGGCTCCTTCCTTTGTTCTGTTTCCTGCTTCCCTCCCACACCTGCCCCCTCCTCGGCACTCTGTGTTGTGGCCTCTGCTGTCCTGCTTCAAACCTCCTGGTCCTCTGTACCTTGCCCCCACCCGGTGGCCAGTTCTTTATTCCTCCCCTGATTTCATGCCACCGCAGGGTTGCTGTCATCTGACCCCCCTGGCTGCTCTCCTTGGTGCTGTCCCCAGGGAGGCCAGCAGTGCTCACAGGTGGGCAGGCTGGCCACACCTTTCAGACTCACTCTGCCAGGCCACACTGTTGAGAATACCCTTTTTGTTGTTGTTTTGTACCTTGAAGATTCATTTTTATGAATGAGTAAATCTTCAGAGAAGAATTCCTCTGCACTGACTGGGTTATTGCCAGGTGTAACTGGTCTTTCCACTGAGCGCTGTTCCCGTAAGAAGGAAGCCATTTCTCTTTGGTCATGAACATTGCCTTGTTGAGCAGTGTGCCCACACCCAGACCTGTGAAGAGATCTGGAGTTGAACGTCCTAAGGACTTGGTGGCGTGTGGATCGTGCTTGGCATAAGAAAAAGAGGGTAGAGGTGAACTAACAATTATCGAGCCCCCTAGTGTCTCAAATACGGGGCCAGAGGCTTTCCATGATAATAACTTCAGCCCCTGCTTTTTGGTTGTTTTTGGTTGTTAGGCCTTTTTGTTTTTTTCTTTATTTTTCCCACCGTTCCCATTGGGTTCCTTTTGTTTTTTTTCCCCATTTTTTCTTTTGGGCTTAAGGTTCGGGGGTTCCTTGGTTGTTTTCCGGGGAGAGAGGAATTTAAACCCAGGCAGTTTCAAAGCCTGTATTCTTAACCACTGGACGGTTCTGCTTCCATGTGCGTATTACAGAGGAGGAAAAGAGGTTCAACTTGCCCCAAGTCACACAGCTAATAAGTGGCAGAACCAGGATTTAAATCCAGAGCTGTCAAAGGCAAAGCTTACACTCCTTCCATGGCCTACAGAAAGGTCTTAGATACAGGGACCAAAGGATGCAGTAGCCACCTCTCTGGTGTCCTGTGTCTGAATGTGGCTGTCTCACAGGCAGGTCATGCTGGGACCTCAACCATGGGGGTGGTCAGGGAGGCGGTTGAGCAGGAGGGGAACTGGGGACACTGACTCGGGGTAGAGTCACCCAGTGGGGGCATCCTGCTGTCCATAGCACCATGGCCAAAGGGTGTGGCAAACTCATATGGGCAAACCACCACTACGAACAGGGAGGCCCAGTGTGTCAATGGGGGAGGTCCTAAGGCAACAAAAAGGGCTTAGTGTCTTGGAGGGGCTCCAGGAAGGGGCAGGCCATTGTGGCTAGAGCTCAGAGAATGAATCGCAGGGGTGTGTGTTTGAGATGAGGCTGGAACTCGGGTATGGCATCTTCAGGCGTGTTAAAGAATTGGGGACTTTATCCCTGACATCCTGGAAGCTGGTGATCCATGGAGAGTGAGAAGATCTGATTTGTGTGTTTCAAAGGTCACTTGACTGCAGAGAAACTGGAGGCAACAACTCATTTAGGAGACTGCTGCAACTGGGTGCGAGGCTGGAGTGGTCTGGTGTACAGCAACGGCAGGGGAGATGGAAAGAGAATAATGGTTTGAGGGACATTCAAGGGCCAGAATCAACAGGACCTGGGGAGAGAGGGAGGGGTCAAGAATGAGGCTCAGATTCTAGGTGAATGGAGGTGGTGCAGTGCATAAGCAGGGACGTTACAGTTCTGGGTGACCTGCCGTTTGACAGGAGCCCAGCCTATGGCTACGAAATGTAGGGAGCTGAAACCAGCCCCCTGGGGATGGGAAAACCACTGCGTGGGCTGGGGATAAGCACTGGGTTCCAGGCTCAGCAGGTAGGGAAACTGAGGCAAAATCTTATTCCCTAGGATTAGGAAGGGAAAGGATGGAAAGCTGCTCAGAGGCTGCATGGGCACCCAGGGCTCATCCTGGCATCCTGGATAGAGGACTCAGTGACAGTAAAACTGTCTCAAACTCCCCCAGAGATGGTGAGGCCAAAGCTCTGGATTCCATCATGTGTCCTGCCCTTGCCAGGACGGGCATTAGGCAGGCCTAGCCAGGGGTAGAAGCATTAGTTGACATATCTGTGGGGAGCTGAGGAAATGAGGCAGCGGCTGGCCAGGGTTCCCCAGATCCCCCAGTGTGGCTGCCAGGGTCAGCTTTCTGAAACTTTCTGAAACCAGACTGGATCCCATTAATCCCCAGGTGAAAAGTTCAAGTTCCTTAACACAACTTATAGAGCTCCTCGCAATGTCACAGCCCTCCTTTCTCTGCTCGTTTCCTCTTTATGAGCTCTGGGCCATATTCCAGAGCAGCCTGAAGGATCTTCTGCAGGAAACATGCTAGAGACAAAAAACGGTGGTGGTGGTGTTTCTATGATCTAATTTGTTGGTGCAACATTAGATTAAATAAACATTTCTGTAGGAGTTCTCGGAGCTTTTAATATGCTAATATTTTAACTCTTCAAGACAGGGTATGATGATTACATATTTCCCATATTTATTTGACCACAGAAACCTTTTTTTGTGAGGAGTATCTCATGGGACAGCTGTTCTGAGGAACACAGTTTTGAAAAGGCTGCCTCAGTCCCACAGGGGCTGGCCATTTCCCCCTCCACTGCTCAGCTGGGACTTTTGTTGGGAGGTCCCTTTCTTCTGTCCATCTGAGTTTCTATTCTTCCTCCAACGTTCAGTTTGCCTCCCATCACTGGGGCCAATGATGGAAATGGACAGTTATTTTATATCTTCAGATAGACCCAAGCAAATCCTCTGAGTTTCCATTCATAAAGGAAGAAATGCTGAGGTATTAAACTAATCTCCAAAAATAGCAATGCACTTCGAAATATACTTAAAGAGGAAAAAAAAGACTCACACTTTCACTGTCATGTTTATAATTTTTAGTGTTTTGGTTTTGTTAATATGCAATTTCTATACATAGTCATTGTAATACTATGCCCACATATAAAATTTTATATTACTTTTTCAATTAATGTTACATAATCACTTTCCATGTTGCTACATAGTCTTCATAACCATTATTTTTTAAGATTGACTACCATTGGCCGGGCGCGGTGGCTCACACCTGTAATCCTAGCACTCTGGGAGGCCGAGGCGGGTGGATCGCTCAAGATCAGGAGTTCGAGACCAGCCTGAGCAAGAGCGAGACCCCGTCTCTACCAAAAAATAGAAAGAAATGATCTGGACAACTAAAAATGCATATATATAGAAAAAAAATTAGCCGGGCATGGTGGCGCATGCCTGTAGTCCCAGCCACTTGGGAGGCTGAGGCAGAAGGATTGCTTGAGCTCAGGAGTTTGAGGTTGCTGTGAGCTAGGCTGACGCCACGGCACTCACTCTAGCCAGGGCAACAAAGCGAGACTCTGTCTCAAAAAAAAAAAAAGATTGACTACCATTGAATAGTTCTATCATGGCCCAATTTTTGGATATTTAAATTGATCACTAGCTAATATAGTTAATGTTTCAAAAAATGTTGACAATGATATAGTTCTGTCAGCCACCCCCTACACACACACACACACACACACTATATTTTTGGGTTATTTCTTAGGAACAGATTCCCAGGAATCTGATGACTAGGAATCCATGAATCTTTTGTAAAGTTCTTGTTATATTGAAAAATTGCTTCCCAAAGGGTTGTTCTAAACTATAATTTCACCAGCAATGTAGGTGAGAACCATTTTCATGCTACCTTGTCAGAATTGAGTATGAAAACATTTTTTAAAAATGTTATTTGAGAAGGTGAAAATACTACTGTAATATATTTCAATTTGCCTTTTCCCCCATTTATAGTGAGCTTAAACAGTGTTTTTCATTTCCTAGATGTACTTCCTCTTTTGTTATTCAGTTACTTTGCCCATTTATCTACTGGGGGGTCTTACTTTTTGGTTTATCAGAGTTATTTATATTTTAATGTAACCATTTGCCACATTTTAACGACAATTTTTCCATTTTAAAAATTCTTTTTACAGACAAAACTAAAGTCTTTATGTAGATATATCTGTTGACTTTTTGCGATTTTCATTGCTTCTAAGCTAATACATATTCTCTTTTCAGATGTTAGATATTCAATTTTGTTTTCTTCCATTTTGGTTATTATCTGTTTTTTTAATACTTACCTGCTAACCAGTTATCCTATTTACTGAATTCCTTCCCACTGTCATGATGTCTCCTACATTACATATTAAAATTATTTTATGCCTAAATTATCTATAATAATTCTAAGTCTCCCTATAATTACAATTTGAACCATCATACTGGTTTTAATAGTTGGTAGGGTTAGTTCCTCTTCATTATTGTTTTAGAATTTTCTTTTATATTCCTCCTCAACATTTGAAACATTTTGTGAAGTTTCCATACAATTGCCTTTAGATTTTTATTTAAAAACTCTGGCTACAAAAGTAATATTTGAGAAAAAAATCAATAATCCTACTACTTAAAGATGCTTTTAAATCACTTACATAGTACTCAATTATGCACCATGCACTGTTCCACGTGCTTACAAATATTAACTCCTTTTGTATTTATAACAACTATCTTTGTGGTAAGTAGAATCATTTTCCAGTTTTCCAGTTAAGGAAACCGTTATTATGCCTGTTCTACAGATGAGGAAACTCGCCCAAGATCCCCAGGCAGTCGACAGAGCCAGGATTTTAATTAGGGCAGTGTGGTTCCACTGCCCGGCGTGGATCAAACACTCTGACACTGCCATTCCATCAGGTACATTATGCATATTTCGGCATATTTCCTTCCAGTCTTGTACAAAGTGGGCTGTTTCTGTACATACTTTATGCAATCTTTTCACTTAACAGATATGTCACGAACATCTCTCTATATCATAAATCTTTCACATCATGATTTTTAATAAATATATGCATGTTTAGTATTTCTCATCTGCATGTAGAACAATGCATTCCAATTTCTCATTTTGGAATAATTACTTTGCTTCCCATTTTTCTCCTGTAATAACACTGCTGAGATGTATGTTCCTGAGGCTAAATCTTTTCACACATCCATAATCATTTTATGGTAAATTCTAGAGCTGGAAACGCTGGGTCTAATGTTATATATTTTAAAGGCTTTTGATACGTAATGCCAAACAGTCCCCTGGATAGATTTACAGCTCTATGTACAGCTCCATCTGCAGTGTGCGGACATGCTCTACCTCACCCACACTAGGTCATTAAAGGAAAAAGCAAAAACCATAACTTGGCCAATTCGGGATCGCCGGTACCTTTTAAATGGGATTGCACTAAAGATCTCTTAACTCCACCA